ACAAAAAGTTTAGGAACCTTGGTATGATCTGCTGTAAAGGAGAAATATATAGCAATAGCATTTAGGTTTCATATTACTTTACAGTCCTCTCTAAGCAGTTTACAGGGTCAACCGATTGCCCCCAATAATCAAAGTCCTCATTTTACCAACCTTGGAAGGATGGAAGCCTGAGTCTACTTTGAACTGGTCATGATTGAACTCCTGGCTGTGGGCAGAGTTAGCTTGCAATACTGCATTCTAGCCACTGTGCCACCACAGCTCTTACTACATCCATTATTCTGGACCAAGTCAACTTGCTAGCATTCTCAGGAATCTAAGAAGCTGATGAACACCAAGCTACCTATCTCAATTTCACCAGTCATAAATCTGGGTATAGTTAAACATGCTAACCTATATAGCTGGGAAGAACTCTGCAGTTCTGGAATGAGTGGTTTTTTGAACACAAATTTGATAGCCAAGGCAAAGCAAATGGCTTCAAAATTCCAAAAATACCCTACAGCAAAGTGCATTAACAACTGAACCATAAGGACCACCCACAGCTCCCCATTTTGGCCAGCTCTCAGTGATTCCCATTTCAGACTTTCAGCTGCAAAAGATGAAGTAACTGGGATAAGCCAACAGCAGGAGAACATGTGTGACTACAAAAGCGATGATTCTGTTACCGTTGGAGCCGTAGAAAGTCCTCCTTAAAATCAAAGGTGCCATTAAGGATCCCAAGAGTTCCCTTCTGTTGAAACTCGTTTCGATATTTATCTCTGAACTCCTTATGGACATCATCTATCAACTTATCCACGTAGGTTAAAGTCAAGATTTTCTGAAATCCAACCTGCAAAAGAGAAGCCGTGTGGTAAGAAAAAAGGTACATAGTTAAGAAGGCTCATATTTAAGGATATGCAAATTCTTCTGTCTTAATAGTCCACAATATGAATCAGTTGCCTGCTGTTTCTTTTCACACAAGTAGAAGGACACATTCAAAAAAAGGCTAGATTTCTTGATATGCTTTCTAAACAGATGAATGATTCAATTAGAAGAGAACATAAGTCACTGCTATCATGACACACTAGGCTTACAGACTCGATAAAACATGAGATGCATTTGGTTCTGGCATCACATCTTGTGGTTCCAGCCAATGGTAGCTTATTAGACAAAGCAGGATTAAATATTCCATGACAATGGTGTGATTTGTGAGCTCAACACAATAGGATTACAACACTGGGAAGGAAGAATATGTTGCAGAACTGTGACTCATAATGTTCATCTCTACACCACAAGGAGTTGTAATTCAGTCACTTTTACAAGGTCACATATTTTTCACCTGGTTTAGCTTCTCAAGAACTAGACAATAATGAAACTTTTAAATTTCAGTTCAGTATTCCTTTGTTTTTGAAACTCCTTTCAGCACAAAACAGCATACGCACCACAAATACAAGCTCAAATTGATTGTCCAGCTTATATTTAAGTGTAAGGGCTTCATGGTTGAAAGAGTTGCTGCCACCTCGCTCCTGAAAAGAAGAAAATTAACATAATGAAACACAAGATGTACACGTCAAACGTGGCTTCTGTAATTATTCTTGGCAGTGGGGAATAGAGTGCAGACCAACATGGGACCAATCTCCAAGGAGATCAATCTCCAATGTGCAAGTGGTTGAATAAGCACACCAAATTTATTTACTTTTTATAAGACGTTAGTTTTTGAGAGATACAACCTGTCCCCACAAAAAGTATACCGCAATTCGTTCAACAATATGAGCCCTCTAGGAAGGTTATAAAGCTGCCCAACTCAATGTCTCTGTGGCCAACATATGATGGAAAAACAATAAACTAAAAGACCCAATTTATGTAAAACCTAGAGAATGTATACATTTAAAATACAAAATAGAGAATGGAGAGCAAACACAATGCAAATAATTAAAAGGGAATTCAGCTCAATGGGATCCTATCTGTGATCCTATGTGGAATTTGGGGGATCTAGTTGAAACCAGTTTATGTTCTCAGTAAATCTTACTAATTGGCCCGATTATAACTTGCACGATAGCTGATTTATTTATTTTTATTTACAAAACTCAAGATTACTAGGATGAGGTATGGAATGTTCTCACTTGAGCATTGGCACCATGTGTGTCAGGAACCATCCAAAGTCATCTCAGCTACTTCTAGAAGATTCTTTTCTGTTGTGGCACCTGTGCTCCACTGCTTTAGGCGCTCCACCTTGAGATCTAGGATCTGCTTAGTATATTGGTGCCTATTAAAAACTCGTGGATATGAATGTGGGAAAAATGCCTCTTTTAATGAATATAATTTTACATTGTTATAATGTATTTTATTCTTTTCTTGTCAACTCTTTTTAAGAAGACATAGCATAGGAAGTGGCACTTGAATATGGTAAACAAATTTTAAAAACAAATTTAAGAAGGGTTGTTTCAGATTCTGGAGATCCAAAATCAGTGAAAACCTCTTATATCAAATTACTTTAACTTATCTTGGACTAGCATGCGATGCTTGAGTACTATATACCAATTTATTAATATCATGCCTTCTGAATAAGCAAATGCAAAGTTGAAGATGACCATTTGGAGATTGCTAAGAGCCCCTTATGGCCTGTTAGCAAGGGATCTGGGAAAGCATGGCTTCTATCCCAGGGTACATAGTACAATCGGGCTCATCGGCATAGATTTAGAAACCATCTGTTAAAGGAAAACTTTTAGATGTAAACAGATAATAAACGTCAAACAAGTCCCAAAGACTTCAGAACCATCCAGTACACAAAGTAGTGATTGCGGATATTTTTAATACTTTACTCAATGAACAGGCTTTGAATGCAAGAATATACTGGAAGACCTATCTGGCTCAAATAACCTGACTAAAATTTATACAGCATGGTTCATGAAACATGTTACATTGTGTGCTGTTTCAATTTGATTTAGGCACTAAGAATAAACTGAAAACTGGCAGTTACCTATAGCTTAAAGTAATGTGCCAGTTGCACATTTAATCTTTCAGATAGTAACAGTGAAGCTTGGAGTTAACTAGTATAATTATTAAAGGCCAAGAAGAATGACAAAGAAATAGATGACAGTCCTGCAGTTGAACACTTACCCTCCTCCCCCCTAAATCCCTGCTAGTTTATTTTGAGGTGGAAAGAAAGAAAAGAACTACACTACAGAAAGAAAGAACCACACTAAAAGAATCTAGTCTCTTCGTAACATTTGTTGTAGGTTCAGTGACAGAGCAATATGCTGGCTAACTTTGCCTATCCCAAATAAACTCCTAGGAGATCAAAGTGCCCCAATTACAAGATATTGCAAGAACTGGCCTACTCAACATATTAATAGGCATGCAATTAATGGGAAGATCCAGTTTATTTGGGTCACGTTCTTAACTATTATTCAGGCACAATTATATTAAGCATACAGGGTGTTATGAATGTATTACTTGGTCTGTTGTGTGGATGCTTGTGTGCTTTTAGAAGGCAGGGGAATTTTGGCGGGTGGGGAAGTATTGGGATTGTCATGTGTATGTGCATGTTGAGTCTGGTCTCTGGGTGTTATGTGAATTTTGTTGCATGTATACTGTGTATATACATACAATGACAATAAAGAATTAAATATTCAATATATTATGTGTATGTTGTATGGAGATTTTCCATTCCTTAAATAGCAATAATATCTTACAAGAGATGGAAGGGAATAATTCATTCATTGTACAATAACAATGTCATTATACAGAAGTCATGAATTAATCCCGTTATTTCAACTACATCCTAGCATCACGCCACTAAAGACTTCTAAGAGGTCAAACAAAAGAGGAAAATTTGATTGACAGGATATCTGGGAGGTGGAGGATTGAAGACAGACTGCCTAAAAAGGGGGCTTAATAAGATTAAAAGTTCCCTTTAATTGATCTCAGATCCGGGTGACTCCTTGACCTCTCTCCCTCTCGGCAGCAGCACGAAAGCATTTGGCGGCTGCCCACTTCTAAATTCTTCCTGTGATCTCCTGGTGGTCTCCCATCCCAGGATGAACAAGGGAAGCCTTCGTGGAACCCGCCCAGATCGTCTAGGGCTCCCTTCCGTTAGCCCCCCACCCCGCGTGAACGAAATATGCGACACCCCCGCGCACTCCACAGGTGCAAACGGAGCGCGGGGAGGCGGGGGGAGTCTTACCTGGAGGAGGACAGACCGGATCAGCGCGTTCACGGGCGCAGTGCAGGCCGCCGCGGGGCCGCGCACGCCTTGGAAGCACCAGAGGACGAGCCCCCCTTTGCTGAAGATGGTGAAAAAGTCGAGCATGGCGGGATCGGGGGCGCCGGGCGCTGGCCCGGGGGGGAAGGGGGGAAACCGGGGGGCGACGGGACCGAAGACGCCGGGAAACCAGCCCGACTTCCTCACCCACGTCAGAGTATTCTCTCAGTACTACTCACATCCGCCGGAAGCGTCTCAGGCCCCAGAAGTCTGATTGGATCCCGTTTTCGGGAGAGGCGGGCCCGAGGTAGATCATAGAGATAGAAAGTGAAGAGCTGTTTCGAACGTCAGACACGTTGTCGCCTTTATCACTTATACCTTCTTTTTTGGAACGGTCTACATTCATGAGGGACGAGTAAAAATCCTGGGTTTTGTCATTGGAGATACAGGATGCTTATTCCGGGAAGGAAGCCTGCTTAAAATATGCCGGGTCTCCCTCTTGAATTATAGAGATAGAAATAGAGAGAAAAGGTTGGGAAATGAAACGGGGAAGGAGGGGTTGGACACGACAGCCTTAAAGTGGCCTCCACGGTAGAGGAAGAGGCGGGGCTAATCTTGAGATAGAGGGAAAAGAAGATCGGATTGGTCTATTCTTCCGAAGGCCGCGCGAGACGTAGGGAGTGGGGCGGGGCTTGGCGGCTTCCCTGGACATGTCAGAGCGAAGAGCGACGTGGAATGGATCTCTCGGGGGCGGGGTTGCGGAGTGGCCGCCGATTGGTCCTTGAGCGGGGGCGGATTGAAGGGGCGGCGGCGGTTTTAAACGTCACGTTTCCCTCTGACGTCAGAGGCGTCTGCCATGCTCCGCCGGGGGAGCCCGCTGGCCGGTCTGCGCCCTTTGCTGGCGGCGCGACGGCGGCTCTTCGCTAACCCTGAGGAGCCCCGGGTGCGCTTCAGCATCATCCGCGGCGGGGATTTCTTCCGAGGTGAGCCCGCGGCGGAGGAACAGACGGCCCTTCTCTTCGCCTGGGGCCGCCCTGCAGCCTGTCCTACCTGTCCGGGGTGTTGTGTGGACAACAACGGGAGAGGCGGTCGCTTCGCATGGGGAGGCTGAGAAGAAAGCCGTGGAATTCGTTGAAGGGCGTTTTGGCTGGTGGGGCATCCCAGCCTGGGGATGCTTGATGGGGCAGCGGAGCCCCCAAACCGGGCTCTGCAGGGGCTGCCCAGGCAGCGTTTCTCTGGGGACGGGGATGCTCTCTGCCCCCCCCCCTTTAAAGAAGCTCATATTCGGTTATCCTATTTAGAAACCTACACCCTCCCCCTTGCAATCAGCAGGTCTAACTTGACTCCACTGATTTATTGATTTATTTTATTTTAACCACCCTGTACAGGTAGTCCTCAACTTACAATGGTTCACTTAGTGACTGAAGCTACAACATCAATGAAAAAAAAGGGGGGGGGGACTTATAACCATTTTTTACACTTACAGCGGTTGCAGCACCTCCATGGTCACATAATTTACGTTTGGATGCTTGACAGCTGACACATGACGGTTGCAGTGTCCTGGAGTCATGTGATCAATTTTTGTGACCTGAGAAACAAAGTCAATGAGGAAACCAGATTCACTTAACAACCGTGCTACTAATTTAACAGCTGCAGTGATTCACTTAACACATGTGGCAAGTAAAGTTATAAAATAGGGCAAAACTCAATAATATAAATTTTGGGCTCAGTTGTGATCATAAGTTGAAGTCTACCTGTAATCCCTTTTATTGGGGTGGAGTTGGGGGCAACTGAATGGAACCGAGCATTTACTGGCTGGATGCCCTCCCTGATGCCTATACAGAGTTCACAGCAGATATTTCTGTCGCTGCCTAAGATTGAGCTGTCAGACTCCTGATTTTAAGGCAAGTGTCACTCTGGCTGATTTTTTTATGCGTTGTCCAATCAGTGAGCTTCAACTTTGTGAATGTAAGGTCATAAGAATTTGTAAGAGTAATTTGTAAGGTTAGTGACTGTTAGAATTCACAAAACACTGTATAACATTTAGCTTAATTTTCTCCCTTTCTCAGAATTTAAGAAGCTGACCAATTTCCCAAACTTCAAGACTGACTTTGATTCCTTATTTCCAAAAAGAGATCTCCCTCCTGAGCATTCCGATGTGGTGATCATTGGCGGTGGGATAATAGGCTGGTCCATTGCCTACTGGCTGAAAGCCAAAGAAACACGCAGAAATGCCATTCAAGTGTTGGTAATTGAGAGAGACAATACTGTGAGTTCTTATCTCAGTTCCGCTTAAACAAAAAGAAGCATGAGATTGAGGGTTAGCTAACAATGAAGAACTGTCTTCATTTACCTTCCCTGGATATTCAGGTTTATTCCTAAAGGTGCACTGTTGGAGAGTAATTAGAGCAGCAGAACTTTAGTGACTGTTGAAAAATCCCTGCAGGGTCAGCCAGCCTGGCCAGTTGAAGAAATTCTGGGAGTTGTAGCTTAACTAAATCTAGAGGAAGTTCTACACTTTGGCTGTGAGTTCCAGGATGCATTTGTGAGACCCTAGCATCAAGGTTTAATTTCACCTAGTGAGTCGTCTTGCGTCTGATATTATTTCTCAGCTTGTTATCTCAGTGTTGTGAGTATACAGTTGGGAGAGACTTTATCGGGAAAAGATAGGATAAAAATATAATACACTAAATATGGGGTAAGGTGCCACTTGATGAATTGCAATAAATAATACATTAAATTGCAAAATAGCGGTATGTGCAAATTCAGTATTTTGTCCTACCAATATTATTCCTCATCTTTTTTTCTACCATTTGTATGACTGAAATACTTTGGCAGGGAAGATTTAAATATAGCTAAGTAACTCCTTGCTACTTCTCTTGTTTCCCTGCAGTATTCCAAAGCATCCACAGTTCTTTCTGCTGGAGGGATACGGCAACAGTTTTCAGTGGAAGAAAATATCTGGATGAGTTCTTTCTCAGCAAACTTCTTGCGTTTAATCAACGTATGTTATGCTCTCTGGGTTTTTGATTCTGTGGCTATCATTTTGTTCTATTTGCCCCTGTCTCATCTCCCCGTTGCATCACTTGGTGGAGTATGCAGGTAATCTTAAAAGAGAAAAATGAGGGAAGGCACGGTAGTTTCTTGGATATCAAGAATAATATGACTGAATCTCTCAAGGAAGAAGTAATAAATATTGCTTCCTGATAGATACATTGCTAAGAGATAACACTTGGTTAGGTGTTATATGAATCCAACTCTGCATTATACCTGCAAGCGTTTCCATCAAGGGCTTGTTAGCTATATTCATTGTTACTCAATGCATGATGTGAACTTAGTAAATTCCTGATTTCTGTCTACCACATGGGGAGCTCATCATAGGGTCCCTTGTATGAATTTGTAGGGGTTTTATCAATCATTGTGAAATAGGCTCAATTCTCCAGAATCTATAAGCTATATTTCTCTTTAAAAAAAGTTTATTTAAAACAAAGTTTTCAAAAGACAGTATCAGCAAGTGGAAAGAATTACTGGAGTTACATATTTAATGCTTAATATAACCAGAAAATACAAACCATACCAAAGTATGTTGCATTGTCTTTTTGACATGAAAAAGAAGTACAAATCTTTGAGTTTAGTGCCCAAAATACCTAATATTTATAAATATTAACAACCCCCCCATAAGGAAACCTATGAAAAGTAATATAGATACGTATGTAATTCCTGATTTTCCCTCATTTTGAATTCCAAGCAAAATATAGTTGCATAAACTATTATTTGCCTTGTGTGATACAGAGGGTGCATGGGATTAACTAAATTGACTTGATAATTTTCATTCTATCCCTTTGTTTATTCATTCCAGGATCATCTTGGTGTTGTTGGGGAACCACCCATTGATATTCAGTTTAATCATTCGGGTTATCTCTTTCTCGCTTCAGAGAATGAAGCTGCTGTTTTGGAGGAGAATGTAAACCTTCAAAGGTTGGGCTCTTTTGGGTATCTGATTGAGAAAGGTGTTAACACAGGGCATGAATATTTATTTCTTTTTACCACATTTTGCTCTACAGCAGGCTTGTCCAACCCGCGGCCCACGGGCCGCATGTGGCCCAGGTCGCCTCGTAATGCGGCCCAGTACCCACCCCAACCTTCGTGCCAAAGCCAGCGAGGAGGAGGAGGAGAGGCAGGCGCGAGGCGAGCGCCAGGCCAAGCAGCAAGAGAAAAGGCGGGCG